ATGTCTATCGAAATAAGGCAGCACAAAATGCCATATCTTATTTAGATAATGAACAATCGTTTCATTTTTTTCTGGATTTATTTGTAGTGGGATAACAAAATAAATTGCACATTAACAATGCTACTTTTCCACTCTACAAAATGGCGTAATCAGAATTTCAATATGACGTTTGGTCTCTTGTCCTCCAGCGTCAACTTAATTTTTTCTTATGGACGCCATATTGGATATTTGCAGAGATGAATAGAGTTTTTAATTGTGACTCCAAAAATGTATAATACGTCATACATTGACATTGCCAAACCTTAGTTAATTCAAAGAAATAGAATGTCCTAGGTAGGCGTTGAAATTATCAGACAGTCATTTGTTTCGCATACCAGGTTTATCCCAGTCACTTTTATGTTTTCCTGACTTTATTTGAGATGAGATTTCAAAATAAATTTCATCTTATCAATGTTACTTATAAGATGGGGTAGTCAAATTTTCAATTCGACATTTCTTCTTTTGACTTCCATCACCAACTTTGTTTTTTCATATGAACGCTATATTAGAATTTTGAACATTTAAATTGACTTTTCATTCCCAAATTCAGTGATGTATTTTCTTAGATGGCCATGAATTTGTAGTTGAATGAAAATTATAATAATATATAATAACAATAATAATTATAAATAAGCAGAGAATCATAGCTTATGTTCAAAATATTTTATGTTATTTTGTAGGCAAAGCCTGACTCTTCTCTGTACATTGTTCACTGCTCGATTTATTCCTTTGCTTCAGTTTTCCAAGCTATGTTCCATTTGAGGTCTGGTCTGGTATATGAAACAGATGAAATTTAATAATTCCAAGGCCTACATAGGAACTTCTGTTTTCAGGATAACTAAGGTTTGACAATGTCAATGAATGACATATTCATATTTGAAATCAGAAGTGAAAGCTCTTCATCTGCGCAAAAATCCAATCTGGCGTCCATAAGGAAAACTAAAGTTAATGCAGCAGGACAAGAGGTTTTAAATATGGTATCTTCTAGAGGAGAAAAAGTGGAAATGTTGACATGCAATTTATTTTGGAATCTCATCTCAAATAAAGTCAGGAAATAATAAAAGCAATTTTGGGTTAAACCTATGCGAAATAAATGATTATCAGATAATTTCAAGGCCTATCTAGGAAATCTTGCTTTTTTGAAATAACTAAGACTTGCCAACGTCAATGTATGTCATATTATACATTTTTGGAATCAGAATTAAAAACTCCATCCATCTGTGCAAAAATCTAAAACGGCGTTCATAATAAACAATAAAGTTGATGCTGGAGGACAAGAAATATTGAAATTCTACTTATGCCATCTTGTAAAGGAGAAAAGTGTCAATGTTGATGTGAAAAAAATAAAAACAGTTTACTTTCAATGGGCACCATACTCTAATGCGGATGAGAAATCAAAAACAGATTTTATCCTGCTTAGTGATCTTAATATGAAAAACCCACTCTTTCTAGATGGATTGATTTTTTATTCCAAAGGTAGTAGTATAAGTCAATCAGACACTTACTTCGAAAGAAATGATAAAAAAATTTTATCACATTGTCATTGTGGTATAATAGGATTTTTCAAAAAATACCCTCTCGTTGGGAATATTTCTCCGACTTAAAGGGTACTAAGAGACAAAATGAAAGTAACAATTTACACAGTTTCAGCCATTTATGAGGTAAGCCTCCAAGCTAAGCGATTAATTAAAAGACGATCGATTTTTTTGGTCCTGCTGTACAAGGTGTAAATAACTAACTTCTAAGCCTTAAGCTTTCTGGGCCCTTTAAATCGCTGTAACTCGAGTTGGTGCAATGAGAACATTTGAACAGCATTACTTCAAGGACATAACCACAAACATTGGAACAAATCCTCTGAAATCACTTTTCCCATAAGAATGGTAGGTAGGGGAGGGCGGGGCAAAGTGGGGTACTGGGGCAAAGTGGGGTGTGGCAACTAGAGGTTCAAATAATATCCGCAGAGTGCTGCCGTAGTGATGCTTTGACCAGCTGGCACGCATCAGTCTATTACCACATGCAGTGAACGTGATAGATCGCTGGAATTTTTTTTACAGTTCAAAACAAATAAATACGTACTTTTCCTATTTATTTATAAAAATTGTGTCTTAAGAATAAACACAAACTGTTTGTGCTACAGTAACCGCGTGTTTTTATCAGATTAAGGTGTTCTTTGGCATTAAATTTTATGCGAATAATAAGACCGGATCAGAACAGAGGTAAGAGTTGCAGCCATGTTTATTTGATTACGTCATTTGGGGCAAAGCGAGGTGGTCTGTTGGGGGCAAAGTGGGGAACATTGATTTGATACCCCACTATGCCCCATCTTTACAAAATTAGTTTTTCACATTTTTTCAGCTTTTATAAAATGACTAAGGTCTGGGGCCCACGGGCTCTCGACCTATAAGGTACTATTATTTTTGGTAAAATTAATTTTTGTTATTTTAGCACAATGGTTCGGACATACAGAAGAAAAACAGAGCAGCATTCTTGGTCTTCAGAATCCATGAAAAAAGCCGTCTATAGTTATATTTCGGGGGAAATGGGATATAAAAAAGCAGCTCAGACATCATACAATGTGCCGCAAACGACACTTGAGCGGTATGTGTTAAAATACAGAGGTAATCCCGATGAAACCTCAATTGTAAAGAAATTGGGCCGTTACGCAACTGTTTTTAACGAAGAACAAGAGGCTGAGTTAGTATCCTACATAAAATTAATGGAAGCATTTAGATCACTAGCTTTCCAGTTAGCTGAAAAAAATAATATTGCCCACAATTTTAACAAATATAATCAAATGGCGGGGACAGATTGGCTAAAAGGTTTTTTAAACAGGCACAAGGATATAACTTATAGAAAGCCGGAAGCAACATCAGCAGCTAGGGCTATGGGCTTTAACAGGGTTGCGGTTGACAATTTTTTTAAATTGCTGGAAGAAGCTATTGACAAATATAAGATTACACCGCAGCGCACTTACAACGTTGACGAAACTGGCGTTTCAACTGTCCCGAAAAGTCATTCCAAAATTTTGGCTTCCACTGGTAAACGCCAAGTCGGAACCTTGACATCTGCAGAAAGAGGCAAACTGATGACAACGATTGTCTGTTTCAGTGCTGTAGGGAGTTATATGCCTCTAATGTTTATATTTCCGCGTAAAAGGATGAAGCCTGAATTACTAGATGGAGCGCCAGCAGGATCTTGGGGAGAATGCCACGAATCTGGATGGATACAAAGCGACCTGTTTATCTTGTGGCTAAAAAGATTTATTGAATGGTCGCATGCCACAAAAGAAAACCCAGTGCTCTTATTACTTGATGGACATGCAACTCACGTCAAAAGTATTGAACTTATAGATCTGGCTCGCGAAAATGGTGTTGTTCTCCTTTGCTTTCCACCTCACTGCATGCATCGACTTCAGCCTCTGGACGTCGGGTTTATGAAACCTCTAAGCACCTACTACAGCAATGAAATTAAAAAATGGTTACGATTACATCCAGGTCGAGTTTTTACTCAATTCCAGACTGCACGATTGCTTGGTAATGCATTTGTGGCGGCTGCTACTATGACAACGGCTATAAATTCTTTTAGAGCTACGGGCATATGGCCTCTTGAACCACGTATCTTCACAGATGCAGATTTTGCACCTTCTGACACGACTGATATTCAAGAAGATCCCACTTCAATAATACAATCAACTAATCGTCCAATCACTGAGAAAATTAATGAGGATATAACTCCTGAAACATATAGAGAAGAGCAAAGAACCTGAATTTAAATCAGATCTAGATCAGGATGAGATACCAGTTATTCAAACAGAACCTCAACCTGGATGCTCATATAATATTAAGCAAAAGAGATCTGCATTTGTACTGTCACCGGACATTATAATGCCTTTACCTAAAGAAGCTCGAAAAACACAACGAGTTACAAAGAGAAGAGGAAAGACCGCAATTATTACAGAATCGCCGTACAAAAATGAATTGGTTGCCCAAGAAGAAGCAAAAGAAAAAAAAACATGCACAAAAAAAATTAAGAAAAACTTAGATTTGCAAGAAACTAAGAATAAGAAAATTAAAAAAGGTAAATCAGTCTTAAAACAAAAAGAACAATCTTCTAACGAAGATGAAGATGCGCAATGTTTATATTGTGGGTATTTATGGTCTCAGTCCAATGAAGGGTGGATTCGATGCAGACAGTGCAGTGGTTGGGCGCATTGCTCGTGTGCTGGTGACGACAATGAAGACGATGAGGCCTCACACCTTTGTGCTATTTGTGCTTAAAATTAAATTAATTAATTTTAGTGTTATCAATTTTTTTTATTTCTTTTATGTTCTTTAGATTTTTGTGTTCTTCAATAAAAATATTTTCTAAATATTTTATTTTTTCATCATTTAAATAAAACTATTTTATTGTTTTATCATTTAATTAACAGAACCCCACTTTGCCCCAATAGATACCCCACTTTACCCCGTATAATGGGGCATAGTGGGGCAAATGATAAATGGCGGAAATATTTTTATCACAGGTTATTGGATAATGCAAAGTAAATATATTTTTTTGTTTTCAATAGACAACATGTAAGACTAACAACTCATGCTTTTTATGTAAGTTTTTGTTAAAAATTTGACATTTTAGAAACTAAAAACCATTAGATACCCCACTTTGCCCCGCTCTCCCCTACGCGGTAAACTTTCTCATAAACGTGATGAAAATAAAAAAGAAATTATCTATCTGTCAAACCACGCTTATCTATCGCCTAATGGTAACACGTGGTTACACGTCTTTTTTCTCTTTAAACATTATCTACGCTGAATGTTATGGTTTATTGCTTAAAAAAAACAGCTCGGCTCTGATAGATATGATCTTGCATCGCCACAGTATTTACCACGAAATCTGGGATCAACATATAGGAATCAGTTTAACAGCTGTAGCTGCAGCTGAAATATAATGGAGTTTTAATCGTACCTGTATGGACTCGAGCTAGTTTTAGTAGTCGATCTGGAAGTAGTGCTAGACGTAGAAATTCCTAAAGTTCGCCTATTCGTGTCCAAACTTGAATGATAGGCCAGTGCAGAACGCTAAAATAATGAAGATCTTAAGTACAGCCGTAAAAGATTAATCTGCTTTGCAATGCAAAAGATACATCTTGAATCAAGATGTCTAATAATACCGGCAACAGCTAGAATTGAAAGGGGAGAATATATTACATCGAGTATTATTACTGATAAAAATGTACTGAAACAAGACTGCTATTCTAGAAAATAGCCTAATTTATCGATGTCAGTTGAAGAATCAGGCGTTTAAAAATATTATAATTGTAATAAATATCATAATTAAGCTAATACTGCATGGGGTGTTAAAAATGAGCAATATTAGGTTAGACCCGTCCCTCACGGTTGTTTTTTATGGGCACTATCGAATGAATTCCGACGAGCGAGCATGAGGTTGTATGTAGTTTCGGATGTACCCTCTCGTAACGCCCTGAAAATGCCAATGGACTTCTAGAACGCAAAATCCCTCTCAAAACTGTTGACGCATCACACCTCTTGACTCTTTTGCCATCTTCCACCACTAATGCTGCATCTGCATTGTTCATTAATCACCTCTTGTGAGAGAAGAATATAAGACACAACAATTTCGCTTTAATCTAGCTAAGTATAACAGCTGCGTATTTGAAAACCATGAGAAAAAACCTGGAAAGAAAAAACTTATAGTACATGGTGGGGTGGTTGAGAGCCGAAAATCGACCAAATATTTTTTTCACCGTAACAAGTACTCATCAAAGCCTCACTTGAGAAGCGGTCCCCATTAACTCTAGAGGACGGAGAGAGCGATACAGGGTGTTTATATCAGGAAGGCTCAAATTCGTGATTTCTATGTTTAGATGTATTCGGTCGCATGCATTTGGCGTTTTCGGAACGATGGACGAGGGTGACGTATCTGGCACATTGAAAATCCGCAGTTTACCCCATACTCGCTTATTGGCTGAAGTACCACCGCAGGTAGCTATAGCTGACCTCCGTGGCGGCATTAGTTGATGCCTTGTAAGGGTCCTCCGACCGAAGTGACGTGCCTGCTGGCTCTTGTTGGTGGCCTCTGGTTGTATTTCCCTTTCCATCCTCGTTTTCCTTCAGGTTACACCCGTATACAGATGTGATGGGCATATGTTTTCACAACGGTGTTTTCGATGCACATCCGCTTGGGCCTGATGGAGCCAATAAGCAGAAACGTACGCCGGTCTGATTACCAATCCTTCTATTTCTGCTCATTGTTATTTGCTTTTCATCTAAGTTTCCGAAAAACTATCGATCTTTCTTTGTATTTTTATTTACCTAGATTTTTTTTTGATCTTGATCTTTATTTACCTAAGAAGAGAAACGCTATTTCTCAATTGGTCATTTAGGTCAATAATAGTAATTTTTCTATTCAAAAGTGAAAAAAAGTATTACAATTAGCCCTTACCGAATGCGGCGTGGCGTGACTGACGTTTTGACTGCTGGTACTCGGAGCGCCAATTGCGGATCCAGTGTCGAGTAAGGGAGCCTTCTTTCCTATGCACCTCATGATTGATCTAAATAAATTTTGTCTCACCCGATTATTGGCGAAACAATACCCGGCCAATGAGAATCCGGCGTGCACCAATACAGCGACAGACAACATTGGCGTTAGGAGGGGGTGACGTTCCGAAGCGTCCAACAGTGCTAGAGTCCAAGTCGCGCCCAATAGGGGCAGAGATACCACTGACACCCACAGCAGAGTTCTAGGAAGTAAGATGAATATTAATTTTCCACATTGCTGGATACACAGGGCGGTTCAAAGAACCGTAATAGCAATATTTCTAGAGTGAAAGTACAGGGCCCATCATCCATGTCAGGCCGAAGTATCACTCCCAACCAAATATATTTTAGAAATGTATGGAATATTATACACAGTATCTGAATGTACATCTCTAAAATACAATTATAAAGGGTGATCCAATTTTTGTTGAAAATTATATCTTGGATAGAGTTGGGTGTATGTCAATTTTTGGTTCACAGCAATTTATACTTTTCCAACCCCGTTAATTCTACGCATCTATTAGACATATTTCACACATCACAGATTTCCTCTGACATTTGCCCTTAAAACTTGAATGATAGAGATATGTTTTCGATATACGCCGGGCAACTCAACGAGGGTACGTGTCTTTGCTTCGAATCATAACTGTGAATGATGATGCATGTATTCGTGATTCATGTATGCAAGCAACCCCGTTGCTGGGTGGCAATGTTGTCAAATCAGTGGGTACTATGGAATAATTCTATAAGCCTGTTCTACGGACATGATCTATCCAATTTCTTTGTTATACATATTGGTAGCCACCTTTTTTCTAAGGACTAACTTGTGCCGAATGTAATTCTTTATGAATTTATAAAAGCATTGAGTAGGAAGCGCAAGTGCAATTACTAATTATAACGCGAAAGTAAAGATCTTTCCTAAGAACTTTCAGATTCAAAGTTAAAGGAGATAAAATTCGAAGTTTCAGTTAACACTTTTAGAGAATCCGTCAAAAAATCTAGTTTCTCTCCCAAAACTTTGCATTTTTCATGTTTTTGTTAGGTATACAGATCTGTTAACAATCCTTAGAATGGGGCTGAGCACTCAAAGACAGCTATTCTGGTCAGATGTCAGAATTGTATGCCAGCAGTATTTCAAATGTCATTAGACAATCAGCTGTTATTTGTTGTCATGTTTTGACGTGATGAATATTGTGAAAAATAGATAATCTGCATTTTTCCAAGTTGTCAGTTGTTCGTAGAACATTCCTTGAATTTACTAACCTCAGCGTATTTTAAAGAAAAACTAATACGATTTTTTTATATCTTATAACCTCGGGTATATTTAAAAAAACAAAGAATTTGAGTAGAAATGGATCACCCAATAGACCTTAAATTGAAATGTGACTAAGGAAATTGAACATCATAATCCACTAAGAAATGTAATCAGGAAACAAAGCAAAATTACCTTAAATTACCGAATCCGAGTACATGATCTTGCAATGTAAAGGCAGCTCGTATGGAGGAAATCAACACGATGAAGTTGATACCAACTAAGATACAAATTGGTCCTACTAAACTCCATACAACGCTCTCATACAATGAAACCCAGCAGCTAAAATTGATATTATTTTCATCAACAAATTTTATTCATAATAATGTCTAATCTGACTGCTTACAAATAATAGTTGCCATACTGATGAGCTCTAACACCAACAGACAGTCCCACAATAAGCGATGGTAGGGCATAGCCTATGCTGTAATAAAATCTCATCGGTCCATGGTTGATGTCTCTCATCTCTGTCAACATTCGATATAAATGGATAGCATCCACTAACATCCAGCTGAATGCTGCCAACCAAAGGTAATGCAAGCTGATTGCACAAACCTTACAGTAAAACTGAAAAATGATAAACTATGTGTTAATTAAAATGATTCACTACCAAACATAATATAGATTTGGAAAACGACTCTGTCTGGAAAGGAAACAGAACTACGATCCAATGTATATATATGTATATATACAGGGTGTCCGCAAAGTTGGGGTTTTCCTTTACACGACGTGTAGATCTTGAAAACATAAGCAACTTTTCTTAGTACCTTTTACACCAATGTCTTAAGTTAACCGAGATAAAGAGCTCTGCAACATCAAAAATATCTGAATACCATCCTGTAGCCGCGACATCACGGAGTGGTACAATGTCACTGGCTCAACGACAGAACTGGGTCGGGGGTCGGGGTCAGTGTGTCAGGTCAGTATGCAACCTTCAACCGACGGCTACGGTCACGCGAGGTAATCGCGTAGACAAGAATCCCTCAACAAGCACTAGAGACGTGGCTAGAGAAGTGCAAGTATCAAAAACTAAAGTGTGGCAAACGCTGCGTGAAGAGGGGCTGTACCCGTTTCACGTCCAACGTGTACAAGCCCTTCAACCTGACGATTTTCCAGCAAGAGTGCGGTTTTGTGAGTGGTTGTTGCATCAACATGACAATATTCCGGACTGTTTGAAGTGCATATTGGTGACAGACGAATCTACGTTCACGCGTAATGGGGTGAATAACTTTCGCAACACTCATGTTTGGTCAGTAGAAAATCCGCACGCTGTCCGTCGGGCACATTTTCAACAAACATTTTCGGTGAATGTTTGGGCTGGCATGGTGAACGGTATGCTCATTGGACCATTTATTCTCCCAAATCGATTGGACGGGATGCAATACCTGGACTTTTTACGCAACATTTTGCCTTCCTTGTTAGAAGATGTGCCATTAAGTGTAAGACAATCAATGTGCTTTCTGCGTCTGCTCGGTAGCGCATCAGCTGATTTCATTTTCTGTTGGAGCGGTATGATTTCGGGCATAGACGTACTTAGCCCTTCTCGTCAACTGAAGAGTGAGTACTTTTTCCTTTATTTTTTTTACTTGGTCGCCCTCGTTTCACTACACATTACCTTTGTTATTTCAAGGGTAGTTGTTTCTGAAAAGGAAAACCCCAACTTTGCGGACACCCTGTATATGATTACAGAATTTTTTTATTAATTTGAAATTATTAGCGAATTGGTCGCGACCATCGGACTTGCATTCGAGTTAACAAGGTTAATAAATGCCAATTGTGTAGATAATAATGAGTACCTACCTCATTTGCCACCATAGGCCTCCTAGCTTTTAAAGCTAAGAAATATAGCAACTCTGCAAGAAAAACGCAGAGCACTAAATGCTTTCGTATAGTATTCGAGTTCGTTTGTAGTCCTCGAATAAGAGCCAGAGTTAAGTAAGTACCAAATAACAAAGGTAGTGATATCGCAAAACAGCTGTAACTGGATACATCCTCTAATAGAGAAGGCTCTGGGACATACTAAAACAAAGATAAACAAATGTAAGTTCATTTATGAGATGATAAAGGATTTAGTCTAAATGTTAGTGCCATCTACCCTGCATTTTGTTTTTCAGAAAAGAAACTTGTCGGAGAGCATGCACACATGCAGTGCTAGTGATGCCACTTGGACTGTACCGACAACATACAAGCCTTATCCAAATGGTAATACTACTGTTGTAATATCGAATCTTAGATAACAAATGTCTAAATATCACTATCTCACTGGATGCAAACACATTTGCACAGGCTGTAAACATGTCACTGAATGTCGCGACATTCTATGTGCGTAGCCAAGGGGAGGATGGGTAACTATCCGCTCTACCTACACCTAGACGGCTGTTAAACTGAATCTGGAATATAAACAAATTCTGATTCTATAAATCTTCTAATTATATTAGCGGAGAGTGGAGAATAATAATTCTTACTAAATTATACATTACTATAGTTCATAGAACTTCTTGATTAAAGTATTAAAACCAGCGCTGCATCAATCTGCTATCAACCATTATTACTAGTAAGTAATTGTTTGTTTGATATTTGATTTTGCCGGTGTACTGTTTTTCTCTCTATGTGAGATATGTTACAAGTGAAAACTATGTGGCGGATAGAGTCACCTATACAATTTTGCAATATACTGTACCCCCCCCCCCCAGATAAAATGCCGTTAAAAAAGCATTGAATAAAACCATTTTTATTTTTTTTTCTAATTAGCTAACATTTTATTGAACATATTATATATTAAACGTCACCCTAATTATTTTGTAAGAAATCAGTCGATTTTATCCTTATTTGCCCGGACTATACGGGCCGCATCGAACCGCGCGGCCGCACGTCGGTGTTTTCGAGCGCTTTCGATACGACTCGGTTAGAGCACTTAGAGTCGAGGTACAGTATTAATAGCTATGCTAGGGCGCATTATTTTTGCGGCCTCGCTGCGTCTCGCATAGCTAGCTCCATTTGTTGTTTACTATTGAATATTGATTACGCGCTGCATTTTTAGTGTCGGGTTTTGTTTTATTGCAGAATAAAGTAGCAAATGACAATGAATAGTGTCAGTAACATTTTAAAAAATGATTTTACGCGTCTGTCCCTTCAGAATAAATTAGAAATTAAGAAATTGGGCAGACCTTTGCCGGATTTAAAGTTAACGCAAGTGAGTGAACGGAAGGCAGAAAAAAAAAGTTTTACCCGTCATTTTTCTAAAGATACATATAAAAAAATAATTGGATATGTGGATGTGAGGAGACAAATTTATTGTACTGTTTCCCCTGTTTATTATTTTATAATGCCGCGTCAGGTATGGACTCTAGTTGGTCAAGGACGGGAATCAAAGACCTGCATCATCTTCCTGAAAAGATTAGAAAGCATGAAGCTTCCCGAGGACACATTAATTCGTGCACGGCGCTTGCAGTTCTTGGTAAGACAAATATAGCATCACAAATAAGTTCTGCTTATAGACAAAGTATAGTTGAACATAATGAAAAAGTGAGAAAAAATCGGCACATTTTGAAACGGATTATAAGCTGTGTCAAATTTTGCAGTGCCTTTGAATTGGCACTTAGAGGTCACAATGAGACTGAAGAGTCTTTGAATCGAGGAATATTTAGAGAATTAGTTGATTTTACTGCTGAGTTAGATGAGGCCCTTAAAAATCATTTACAAAATGCCACGGTATTCAAGGGAACTTCTAAAAGCATTCAAAATGACATATTAGATAGCATGCTACAAGTTTGTAGAGAAAAAATTTTGCAGCAAATTAAAAACGCAAATTTCCTGTCAATTCAATGCGATGAAACGACCGACATATCAAATCAGTGCCAAATGGTTTTAATATTCAGATATTTCCACGAAGGCGGCATACAAGAACTTTTTTGGAGTTTTTTGAGAGTTAAAGATAAGACATCAGCAGGTTTAAAAACTTGCATAGAAAATGAAATTGATCAGTTTCTTTTACAAAGTCCTGAAAAGTTGATAGCACAAACATATGATGGTGCGAATGGTGGTTCTGTCGGTGGTGTTCAAGTTCACATTAAAGAAAAATATCCTAATGCACATTTCATACAATGTTATGCCCATCAGCTAAACCTTATTATGCAAAAAAGTGCATCACAAAATTCAAAAGTACGTGTGTTTTTTAATAATTTGTCGGCCATACCAGCTTTTTTTTCGAACTCTACCCATCGATGTGATGTTTTAGAAGAAATTATAAATAAGAAAATCCCCAGAGTAGCTGCTATTAGATGGAACTATAACATTCGTACAGTTAACTTTGTCTATGAACATCGTGAGAAGCTCATAGAGGTGTTTGAAGAAATAGAAGAGAGATGTAATAGAGGTGTTACTTTAAATGAAGCTTCAAGTTTGAGAAGAGCGTTAGAAGATCAAGAATTCTTGTTTTGGTTGACAGTATTCCATAAAATATTTCCGCATGTTGACATCCTTTATAACCAGCTGCAGTCAAGAAATCAAGATAGTGTTCAATTACAAAAGGACTTAGTAATTTTTGAAAAGAGTATCGACAATATAAGAGGTCAAATTGATGATATTAAAAAATATACCGAAACAAAGTTTGAATCTAATAAAAGAAGAAGAACTGACGACAGTATACGAGGGGTCATTGCCAAAGAAGTGTGCGACATAATAACAATGCAAGTAAAAGATAGATTTTCCTTTCGAGGTCATTTACAGGCAGAGGCATATTTGAAATATTCCCGAAATTTCCCTTCTGGTATTTTGGATGCCGTAGCTACTTTTTATCCAATGTTGTGTAAAGCCAGACTGAAAACGGAATTAGAAGTTATATACTCCAGGGAAGACTTAAAGGAAATCGTTGGTGCTATGAATTTATTGTCTTTTCTTGTTACAAACAATCTTTGCGATACATTAATTTGTGGAAGTTATAAAATTGTTAAAAATCATTGTGACAACCCCAGTGACCACAGCAGAATCAGAACGTTGTTTTTCAACTCTTAAACGCATAAAGACATTTTTAAGAAACAGTATGCGAAATAATCGACTAAATGCTCTAGCTATGTTGTCAATAAACAGAAATAGATAGTTTTGATGAAAAAGTTATGGAAAAATGTATATCTCTAAAAGATCGTAGAGCCGATTTTGTTTTTAAACAATGATTGTCTTTAAATTTACTGTATTATAAACAGAAGCTTATTTTGTGTTATGTGCATGTATTATCATTTCTTTCATCTTTGCTGTTTTTTTAAGGTAAGATATTTTAATGCATTGCATGCATTTTACAAGCATAATATTTTTTATTTTGCCATTTCAGTATTATGTATATTTATGACGCTAGCTATAAACGACTAACAGTTGATTTGAAGCGTTTTATGTCAATAAAATATTGCAAAATTGCATGTAAAATTTTTTGAATTAGATTTTGCGCCCCCCAAACTCAAATACCACGAGCCGCCACTGGCTAGTTAATATACTAAGTGGCATATACAATGCAATACCCAGAATTATTTATTGAAGTTTGAAAGTGATCAGTTATTAGGAATGCGGAGTTGTAGGTTTGGTGAGTTTCGGGAGTTTTTTAGCGATCCAAACGTGAAAAGGTGAGAAATTATTCATTCCAACTGCGACAAGAAGAGGACATTCGTGTCGATATATGCAGAAGCTAGAGGGAACACCTATAACCAGCATCGCTCAGTGCATGAATGAAGTACAAAACAAACAAAAAATAGATTTAACGACACATGTAAAGCGAGAACGAATACTAATAATGAAATTTGGTGAAAATTAGCTGATGCCTGCCAGTCCTAACCAAATATTCTTCATTTGCCTGAAGTCAACTGACAACTGAAAATACTTTCTATGTAGCGCCTTAGTTTTATTCTCACAAGCAGAATGAGGTCTGAAGAAATAATTAAGACCAAAATAGATAATCTTGTATGAAGTACTCTTTTAATCGTTCATATATTTAACGATTCACAAGGATCACCATATACTATGAACGGAGTGTCCCGCTCTGAGTAGTCGTTAAAGCGGTGATATTTTAACTTAGCATGTAAGAATTCATAGTCCATATAATTAATCGCTTTTGAGTAGTCCAATGATATTATTGGCGAAGCTAATATTCTATCACGTGCTCTGATGACTTCATCTACTAGATGTAAAAGTGGTGTTGTAGTGCTACAATTTTTGTGAGAACCTGATTGATAATTTGATATATTATTTTCAGTAGGTTTATAAATGTGTTCTCTGTTCTCCATTCTTAAAGATCCTGCTATTTCAATTACATGTATTTTTTATTCTATCCACTAAGATTATACAGTGTGTTCTGTTTGAAAAAATAAAACTTTATTCGAAAGCACTTTTCTGAGATACCTTGTATACAGGGTGATTGGAAATTCGACCTATTACTAAAATAATTGCAGAATTTCATGAGCTTTCCTAAACCATACAAATCTTATCAACTATTTAAAGCATTTGAAAAAAAAACAGAAGTTATCGATTAGAGGTAGTAGATTTCGTAAATCCAATTTTCACAATACAGCCTTCTCGGAATAAAATGCATCGTATTTCTACGTGTCAAACTGACTCGTTTAACTCCGTAAGTATTCGGGTGTGCCCATCGGAGTGTCCAATGAGGTTCGTGATGCGTCATGACCGACAGTTTGTTTATCGCTTAGTACCAACTATCTTTGGAATTCAGACGTGTTGTATCGTGTTGTGATCTTAACATTCCTGCAAATTGTCTGTATGTGTAATGGCTGCTTACGAAAATGAAGAATACGCCGACATTATGTATGGTTACGGGTTTTGTAATGGTGACTCTGCTGCAGCACGAAGGGATTACCAAAGGCCTTTCCCTACCTGCGTTTACCTGAGATAAGCATATTTGATACTACCTACCGTCGCATTAGAGAATCTGGCTCGGTTCATCGACGACAAATATACGCTGGCAGGCCTGTTATGCATAATGCTGAAGAAGAAATTTTAGACTTTAGGAGCAGACCCCACTGTATGAACTAGACAAGTGGTACGGCAACTTGGCATATCCCATTGGAAATCCTGGTTTATTGCTCATACAGCGCAACTTTATTCATACCATTACACTACAGTGCACGCTATGGAGGAGGGCAACCCTGCATCAAGGATTGACTTTTGTTGATTCTTAATTCATGCCGAAATTGAAAACCCAGACTACCTCAAAAATTTCATTAGCACTGATGAATCGAAATTCGATCGTGATGGTATTACAAATTACTTCAATTCCCACTATTGGGCCCCTAAGCGCAAAATCCAAAATAATTCAAGAAAGGCAAGCACCAGAGAAGATGCTCGTTAAAGGTTTGGATGGGAATTATACATAATAAATTGATTTTACCTTTTTTTGTCCGACAATTTAAATGGCAGCACTTATGAAAACCTTTTAGGAAATTAAGTAGATGCATTACTAGAAGATGTTCGGCTAGCTATGAGAATCAATATGATATACCAGCATGATGGCTGCCCAGCCCATTATTCTCGAAGAGTACGATAATGGCTGGATGAAAAGTATCCGCAGAGATGGATCGGTCGAGGAGGCCCAACGCCGTGGCCGGCGAGAAGTCCGGACTTGAGGTCTTGCGAGTTTTACATTTGGGGTCACATGAAACAATTAATGTACAATCCATCCGCTGCAGATATCGAAAATTTGAGGCAGAGGATTTTGGCAGCCACCGATGAGATGAAACGCACTCTTTCAACAAAAGTGACAGTGACCTACGTCGTAGGCTACGTGCTTGCATAGGTAACAATGGCAGGCAATTTGAACAAGATTTATAGTTTTTAAGTACCAACGTTGTGTTTGTTTTATTAATTCTCTATACAGTACCTATTTTTCTTTAATTAATTAGATTTCAAACTTTACCGAGCTCATTTAATTTAAAAATTTATTTGTACCTACATTACTCTTTGTACGGTTTTTTTAGGATATGTCTGAAAAAGTTAAATTTGAACTGTCTTTGAAAGCTCATGAAATTCTGCAATTATTTTTGTAATTTGTACGACGACTGTCATACATTTTATTTCAAATAACTTATGTTGATTTTCGGAAATAACAAACAAAAATGAAAATCTCTTCATTAACAGTCTTTTATTTCTAACAGTTTCAAACTTTTGGTATAGCATTTTTATCTCAATTATTTGCTAGTTTCACAGCTCTCAGAAAACCATCAATTCAGTTCCAAGAAATGAGTAGATTTAAAAAAAATTGTATTGATCAGTAAGTAGAAAATTCTTAAAAAATCTTGAAATGCCGATATCTCGGAAACCGCTCATTTCCGACCCCCAGTTGATGGGGATTAATTTAACGCAAATAACCTCTAAAATCACCACTTTCAGGGAATAGGTCGAATTTCCAATCACCCTGTATAAAAAAAATATTGCACATAAAACTTATTACACTCTTAACTTTTGTACGAAATATTTTTTACCAAACGGTCATTCAAAAAAGTTTGAGGGGGTCAAATCTATAGCGAGACACCCTGTATAGAATCTACTTGGTAGCTGAACAACTGTTGCATCCACATGGAATATTTGCACTAGCTTTGCGTTTTTTACATACAATGTTCATACATTTGTTACAAAATGCTTTCAAAAATATGTACCAAATATTATTTTACAACTCACCTCCAAATCGACGATGTCCACCAATATAGCGAAAGTTCCAAGGTAGTGGCACGTGCAGTTAACAGTGATAGGCGAATAATCGCTTCTGTCAAACCAATTATCATCGAGTTCTGTTCGACAACCGACACGAGACCATTCGCCCCATCTGCCATCAAAAATGTTATACATCAGATGACCAATCTACTGCACATGAATAAAAAGGACACCAATCACCGGGACGCCATGGCGATGTCTCAAGCAACTTAACGTATTGAAATATATAGCCGCTCCCAGACGCGACAGAAACAAAAACTAAAGAAAAACTTATAATGGTGAGAATGTCAAAACCATTATATTCATTTGTCACTATAGGTTAAACATGCACAGCTGGAATATCACAAGCTGTTCCATCTTCAACCAGCAACTTGAAATTAACTAAGGGGTATTATGTAAAGAATCTAAAAAACGTAAGAAAAAACGATGAAATGTCATCTTGCAGACTAGGTAGTTTCTGGTGTGTAAATAGATTATTTCACGCTATGATCGCTGTTCGCTGACGTTTAAGCAACTCGTACAGCTACAAAACAAGTTCACAACAAGTGTACAACAGCTTGTGCTAAGTTAACATATTGTAGAAAAAGGTACGGTGTGTCACAAAAACCTATGAAATGTCTAAAAAACTACTAAATGGCACTTTTCAAGATACGTAATACCCGTGCCGATATGCATATTTCTGACATAATTCTCCATAATTTTTTGTGGTTAAATGAAAGCATATGTCAGCTTGAGTTTTTACTAAGGTTTTCGCCTCCTTGATTGCGTTTTTCAAAGTGCAGATCCCAAGAAAGGCCAGCGAGGTGGCCGAAACCTTAGTAAGAACTCACCCTATATATGTGGTTTCATTTGGTGGCCAGAAAACAAAAGTATCGGTGAGAAAACCACAGGACAAGTTTCAGATGTTAAATTAATTTCAAAATTTTCGCTATTCTAACGAGTGGAAGAATTAGAGTCAACCTACGTGGAACAGATTTTTTACTGGTTGCTTTGCTAACTTTTTATGTTAGCAAACCACGCGATCTTAACCAACTTTCACACTCACCCCCTAACCGTAGTCCAATGTACACACTGAGGATTTGACCTTTCATTAATCATTGTCCTGTTATAGTCCAACCAGAGCTGTAGTCGAACGGGAGCAGCGAGAGAAACGCCCAAGAGGTTATCGTACGCAACAGGTCGTTCGCGCCTCATTCTTCGATAAGTTGTGCTCAAATTTTCCTTGTAGCTCTTCGACTCCGCCTCGTTGGGATTTTGAGTTGAGGGCATAAGATTGCTATCAGTCCGGTATCTGTAAAAATAATAATAGTCAATTTTCGGTGTATTGTTAATTTGATATTTATTGTTAAGCATATCAAAGTGAATAAATATAAAACACGACTCGCGGAAATGCGGGATCAGCACAATCCAGGCAAAATAGGTAATAAATAGGTTGACCTATAACTTAATCCAGACGGTTAGGGCTAAAAAAGTGTGGATGTTGTCTTCCACCACTGGCGAGGAATTATTGTAATCGCAAAAAAAGTTAAAAAATGAGATTGTTTTTTAGATGCTATATGAGATATACATCACGAAAAATCGTGTCACTCATTTCAGTCAGTCAGGAAAAAAAAAACGTTTAACTTGCGTTTTTTTGCCATTTCAGTGGCTCCCGATTATTTTCAGAAAAATTTCTTACGGGTTAAAAATGAGGGTTGAGAGGTGTGGGAAGGGTAAATCTAAATTTTTTGATGTATATGTATACGCTCCGACCCCGGTAATTCTACGAACCAGTTACACGTCAAACTAAAACATCACAAACTGCTGTACCAGAATAGATCACTGCGAAAGTGAAAACACGACGCTGACCATTGGAACTTTATGCCAGCCTGGTCACCATTGTGGCCGCTGCGGGCCACCGATTCTGGCCCCATAGTAGATACGCACGGCTATTATGTAAAAAAAACGTCATCTTGGTAGTTTTATAGGATGCAAATAGTTCCACGTTTGAGTGCTATGATCGCTGTGAGCGTCCATCTATGGAGGAATGAATCAACTACATGCATTGTTGGTTGCAGAGAGCAAGTATATGTTTTGTGAAGCCGAGTAGTCTGTAGAGAAGATGCGAAAGAAAGAAAGTTGGTTGAATATCAAGATCGCATCTGGATGTGTATGTGTATTGGTCTACATGTGTATAAGATCAGTAATATTTGCTATGTGAGAAAATTATTACTGAATATGCTGCCAATGAAGTATATCTATTAGCTGTGCCCGACGGGTTATTTATATGTTGACCTTTCTTAAAAGACAGGTTATGTTCAAAGTTGTAAATTACGATTTTTCCCGTTTTTTTGTTTTCAAAAACTTGGAGAAGCACTACAGGAAATCGCCACTGCGCCCGCGTTTTGTGCAATTAAGCCACATCACAGAAAAATTAGGAATGACGCATTACACATCAAACATTTTCGCAATGCCTCACGTCTAGGCTATGATTTGTATTTTCTATTGACATCGCAAAATAAATTTCTATAAAATTTAAATGACTGGAAACAAAAAATGATGTAATCACCTTTTCACGTTCATAAATATTCCTATCTGTAGCATATTTTCTCATCTGTTCCTTCACCAACCAAGGGTTTTTTTCTTATCACTTTTATTTTTGAAAATGAGCAAATTGGAATAAGTAATTTCCAGAATGAATAAGAAAAAGTGGATGGGCAACTAATTTCTAGCTTTGAATCTCAAGTAAGTGTATTTGAGACAAGAAACCAATGCAATTATCATCAACACATATTATTAACACACAAATCCTCACTATGCACTGCCGTTTCCTTCTTGCTATAGTATACAACTTACAGCTTAGACCTCCAGTAATACCATCTCTGAAGCAGCTTTTGCATCACATCATAACTGAAGCATCATGACGTTTAGGCAACTCGTACAACTACAAAACGAGTTCACAACAAGTGTCCATCAGCTAGTAGAAAAAGCTACATAATGTCACAAAAAACAATATAATGTCAACGAAAACGACATAATGTCACTTTTCAAGATACCTAGTACCCATTTCGCACGGCTATTATGTAAAAAACTTATAAAATGTCAAAAAAACAATAAAATGTCATCTTGCAGACTAGCTAGTTTTTAGGGTGCAAATAGTTCATTGCACGTTTGCTCGCTATGATCGCTGTGAGCGTCCATCTATGGAGGAATGAATCAACTACACGTAGCAGAGAGCAAGTATATGTTTTGTGAAGCCAAGTAGTCTGTAGAGAAGATGCGAAAGAAAGAAAGTTGATTGAATAGCAATATCGCATCTGGATGTTTATGTGTATTGGTCTATGTGTATAAAATAGGTAATATTTGCTGTGAGAAAATTATTACTGAATATGCTGCCAATGAAGTATATCTATTAGCTGTGCCCGACGGGTTATTTATATGTTGACCTTTCTAAAGACAGGTTATGTTCAAAGTTATAAATGACGATTTTTTTCGTTTTTTTTTTTCAAAAACTTTGAGGAGCATTACATTGTGTGCAATTAAACCACATCACAGAAAAATTAGGAATGACACATCACACATTTTCGCAATGCCTAATATCTAGGCGGTGATTTGTATTTACAATTGATATCGCAAAATACATTTTTATAAAATTTGAATGACTGGAAATCAAAAATAATGTAAAAACCCTTTTCACTTTCATGAATATTCCTATCTGTAACATATTTTTTTACCTGTTCCTTCACCAACCAGGGATTTTCTTTTCTTATCTCTCTCATTTTTGAAATCCAGCAAATTTGCGTACGTAATTTCCAGAATGAATAAGAAGAAGTGGATGCGCAACTAATTTCTAGCTTTGAATCTCAAGTAAGTGTATTTGAGACAAGAATCCAATGGAATTATCATCAACACATATTATTAGCATACATATTCTCACGATGCACCTATCCATTGCCGTTTCCTTCTAGCTATAGTATACAGCTTACATCTTAGACCTCCAGAAATGCCATCTTTGAAGCAGATTTTACATCACATCAGAGCCAAACATTGATAACTGAAGCCTCATGACGTTTAGACAACACGTACAACTACAAAACGAGTTCGCATATAGGAGTTCATTCGATAGCTTTTGAGGCCCTATATCACCTGTTTGGTGTGTAGTTTTAGCAATGGTTATGTCACTTTTCAACAGGGCTAATTAGAAATCAACGCAAATAAATCTTAAACTCATTTTTTTGTGTAAAATCTCTTCCATCCCTCAACTTTGGAGAGCGATAAACAAAATTGAGGTTGTATTTCATTATTCATTTTATTGTAGAAACTATTTTAATCCATGGAGAATAAGCTCTGGAAATATCAGCTGGCTACGATACGTGCCTCGCCTTAAAAAATCTGTATGTTTGACGCAGGTGGGTATCTATACATCATGTAAACAAAAAATTCTATTTTACGAGCTACAGTACAAACGACTTGAAGGATTTTGGCATATTATGAGGTACTGTTAGATTCGTCCTAGTAGTGCTAGTGATACTGTGTGTATCAACATTTTGTAAAATCAAAATGGTAGATTTTTTACGCAAATAGCCAAATCAGCTTAATGAGCTTGCTCATTCAACTCGGCATTTCAGGTGCGGGAGCGTTCAATCTTCGGTGCGACCGAAATTACTAAGTCAGGTAATGGTCCAGCGAGGAATTTGTATCGAACGTTTGGCATCTGAGTAAACTCATGTCATATTCTCCACGAGATTATACAGAAATGCATTACTATTATGGTGCTGCCCTGGGAAATGCTCGAGCAGCTGCTCGCATGTATCGGGAGTATGTGGTTAGAGGAGGTGGACCGCAACCGGTGGAATATCCCGATTACCGCGTTTTTCTACGCGTCCATAATGCGTATATGGAGGACCGCATACTACACAGCCGAGAGAGATACCTCTATAAGCACCAGAGCCTTTGCCCGAAGCAGAAACATATCGCATACTTCAGTGCACACTATACTATGCTCGGAGAACATGCATCCTTACCATGTACAAAAAGTACAAGAGCTGATCCCAAGCGACTATGCACAACGGGTTGAATTTTGTGAGAATTTGTTGAGAAAGTGCGAAGAGGATGAAACTTTTTTCGACAGCACCTTATGTACAGATGATCCAACTTCAACCGAAATGGAATATTCAACATGTACAATTTCCATTCATGAAGCGTGGAAAATCCACACGCTATATGCCAACACAGCTTTCAACGTCATTTTGGCGTTACTTTATGGCCTGGAGTACACAACAAAAAATTAATTTGACCATATGAATTGCCCACCAGGTTGAATGGTCAGTCATATCTTGCTTTTCTATAAAGCAGTTTGGATGAACTAGCTAGAGGATGGACCTTTGGACGTTCGAAGCCGCATGCATTTTCAATGCGACAGTGCCCCATGCCACTTTGCACGGGATGTACGGCATTACTTAGACAGTAAATGTCAACCAACTGCGCCAGAAAATTGATGAAGCAAAAATAAAAATTATGGAAAACGCAAATTCATTTCAAAGACTAAAGGAAAATTTTATTAGAACATGTCGCTTGTACATAGAAAATAATGGAGGCCAATTGGAACATGTTCTGTAATAGTTATGTAGTTAAATTAAATTATCTTCCACATTTGTCGGTAAATCGCCATAAAGAGCGACTAAACACAATAGGTTCTGTAAGGATTCTATGTGAATTTGATATGATACACTCATCATAGCAAGCAGAAATTTTCAGTGTTTATTCTATATGGATTGGAATAGTTTTTACAATAAAATGAATAATGAGAAAGAACCTCAATTTTTTTACCGCCCTCCAAAGTTGAGGGATGGAAGAGGTTTTTCACAAAAAAATGAATTCAAGATTTTTTTCTCTATTAAGTAACATAAACATTGCTACAACTAACCGTTTAGCTCACTCAGAAAAAAACACAGCCCTAAACCTAATGGTTTAGTTGTAATTGCGATTGAAAGTTCATTATCCCTGTTTTTTCGAAATTTCACAAACTTACAAATATCTCCTGAACTATAAAATTTCGAACAAAACATACAGGGGTTCATTCGATAGATTTTGAGGCCCTCTATCACCTGACTTCCGTTAATCCACTACTAACTTTACACCCTATATACAGGGTGGCCCATCCATGTGTGGACGGAATATTACTCATAAACAAATACATTTTGGGATGTTACACATGACATTTGAGGGCACATTTCTGGAATATTGGCAATTATACAGGGTGTCCCAATTTTAACCTACATATCAAAGTTGTGATTTTTTAAATGGAATGTCTTA